GGGGCTCGAACCATGGTCAACTACATGGGAGTCCAGCAATGTAGCCATTATGCTAACTTCTGGTCCAAATAGATAACATTTTAAATGCTGTGACTTCAGAGACTGTTTTTCAAAGTCTCTTAGTGGAATGAAAACTACCATGTTGACTAGTTTCCAAAAAAGGAATAACTTAGGAAGTTTTATATTCTTACTGGATAAAAAAAGACAAGGAAAGTTACTGCCAAAAGCTAATAGTGGATCTACAGTTGATCAAATGAGTCTCCAGATATCAATTTCTAATTTAATTTTACTATCATTTCATTTTAATTACATATCTTTCATTTTCTCTTTCCTTTTTTTTTTTTTTTTCAGTTTTTTGCCATAGGGTACATGTGCACTTACTGAAGAGAAACAGAGAAAGCCACAGAGAAAGGAAAAGTGAAAAATCATCTCCTGGGGAGCATGGTCACGCCACAATGCCTTTTCCTCCATTCTCCTCACAGGATTTTGGACATGCATGCACATGTGCCTGGTATGTTTTTTAAGCCTCCGGGTCCAGGACTCACACCATAGTCAGCCATGTGGGAGTCCAGTGCCTTAACCATTATACCACCTGCTGACCCCATCTTTTACACATAGAAATTATCATTAATAAAAATAGCACGTAGGGATCAGCAGATGCCATAATGGCTACATCACTGGACTCCCATGTAATCAACTGCGGTTTGAGTCTCGGACCAAGTGGCTTAAACTCACACTGGGCATATGTGCATGTGTGCCCAAGATCCCGAGAGGAGAACGGAGGAGAAGGGATTGCAGCATGGCCATCTCCACTGTGGGGGTGGGGGTGATTTCTCACTTTCTGTCTCTCTCTGTCTTTCTAGTGAGCACACACGGTCTATAGCAAAAACTTCTCCAAAATAAATAAATAAATAATAAATTAAAATAACACATATATTATACATAGATTATATGGAAATATTAGAAAACATGTCTCTCAATAATTTAATATTAAAAACTTGTACTTGGTAAGAATCTCAAAACTGCATTAAAGTATTTTAAATGTAGCACCAGAACATGATGACACAAAGTTGTTTAGCTCATTTTCTAGAGTTAAGCTATATTCTATTGCTATTAAGATCATATCTGCAATTTTATTCCATTAAACAAAACCAGGAAAGTTAGTGAGGCCATTATGTTCCACATAATTATATATGTCATAGGTAAGAGTATTACCTTTATTTCTTGGCTTTCTGTCAATCCAGTCACCAATTAAGACCCCAAATATTAATACAGATCCAGCCACCACTAAGCCAAACACTGCTGTTAGAAGAAGATTATGTCCATATAATTCTATCAGGAACACAGACATGGCAAAGTGCCACATTCGGTCTCCCTGCAAGGCAGTAGAGGCAAAGCACGTTGTAATCATTGACGTAGAAGACAGAACGAAGTTAAAATCCAGAAAGCTGCATTCCTCCCAAAGAACATGTAATATGCAGGACTTAAAAACAGAATGTCAAAATTATATTTTTATGCAGTATATTTAGAATGTACTTATGAAAAATAGTTATAATTTCCAAAAGCTGGACAGAACATATTTCAAAATCTTAAAAGCATCAAAGAGTCAACAAGCTAATAAGAAAATAGAAAATATAAGACAAATGCTTGGGAGAACATGAGAACTTCAAGAAGTAAGGAACATCTGCTGATTCAGAAGAATGGTTGTAAAATAGGACAATGGTTTTGGTGACCTGAGAAAGTCAGGTGAAAGAAGTTCATGCAACCAAAGACAGCAACTAAAATATACTTCCACTGTAAGCTGAGATCCTATGCAACTACGCTCTCAGTGTAAGCAAGGGTAAAGCTGAAAGTAAAACAACCTTTGCATGTACTTGTACTCCTGCCATACGTTAGCTGGATGATAGTCCAGGAAATGTCAGTCTTTGAGCTTGGATTACAGTGGTTCTAACGGCTAGTACACACTATGAAGTTGGTAGAAACCAATTACAATTCTCTCTAAAGGAATAGGCCATCATCTTAGGCTTCAAAGCACTCTTAACAATAATTTAAGAATATAATACTGGGCATATAGTCAAAGATAACCAAGAATATAAGGAAATGAAGCACCATGAGCAAGACCTACAATAAATAAAAGACAACAGAAGCAGTGTCTGTTGACACTTTAGATATTTATACTATCAGACAGAGGCTGCAAATAATTATTATTATATTTTTAAAAATTAATTCTTACTCTGATAATCTCTATAGGGAATTGGAAAATATAAAGAATAACATGCCCGCTTGAGAGAAAACAAAGTAGAAATTCTAGGACTAAAAAATATAACAATAAAAAATAAAATTAAACTTTCAATCTGTAAGTTCCAAAGCAGATAAGACAATACTAAAGAAAAATCTATTAACTGTAGGTATATCTGAAGAAACAATCTCAATAAAACACAAAGATACAAAATAAGGAGAAAGATGGTAAAAAGAGAAAAAAAGAAACATGTAACAGGCCAAAGAGAAAAGACAAAATAAGATGATAAATTTAGCTTAAATATATCATTAATTATCATTAAGAAAACATGAACTAAATGTTCACATTAAAGGATAAAGATTAATGAATTATATTTAAAATACAACCCTATGCTGTTTGAAAAGAAATATTAAAAAATTAATAAAGATTGGAAGTAAAAGATTGGGTAGATAATAAAGTAGAATGCAAACACTAACCAAAAGAAATCCATGTTATTAAATCAATACCAAAGTAGGTTTTAAGAAAAAATGCATTATTTGAAATATAGAGAATCACTTTATAATGACAAAATTTCAACTCATCAGGATGATGTAAAATTTCAACTTTCTATGTACCTATGAAAATGGTTCAAAATATATGACCCCAAAATGTATAGAAATGAAGGGGAAAATATACAATCATTGTGAGAGAGTTTAACTCACCACTTACTTCTTGATAATTGACAGAATATGTGAGACCAGCAGTTGGCATAATGTCTATGTCACTGGATTTCCATGTAGTGGACCATGGTTGAAGTCCTGGACCTGGTGACTTAAACTCACGCCAGACATGGGGGCATACGCGCCCAAGATCCGGAGAGGAGGATGGAGGAGAAGGGATTGCAGTGTGGCCATCCCCCCTGTGGGGTGATTTCTCACTTTCTGTCTCTGTGTCTCTGCCTTTCTGGCGAGTGCACATGCCCTATAGCAAAAACCTGCCCCCCACCACCAAAAAAAAAAAAAAGCAAAAAATACAAATATGTAAATATATACTAAGCATGTGTATGTATGTTCCTTTTACCTAAAGGTCACATAAAAACACTGTAGCCAACAACATAAGAATACAAATCATGTTTTTAAGCACATGAAGCATTTGCAGAAATTGATAATTTAGTGGGTCACAGAACAGATCTTAATTTCAAAGTTTTGAAACCATACAGAAGATATTCTCAAACCTCAAGGCAATCAAGTAAAAATCAATTTAAAAAAAAAGGAAATCAGAAAATTCTCATGTGTGTGTAAGTTAGGGAATACATTTCTACATCACCCACAGGTAAGCAATCACAGTAAGGCATTATAAATAATTTTCTTTTGTAGAGGTTTTTTGCCATAGGGTGTGTGCACTTGCCAGAGAGAGAGACAGACAGACAGTGAGAGGGAAAGTGAGAAATCACCCCCCATGGGTATTAGCCCTGCCACAATCCCTTCTCCTCCATTCTCCTCCTGGGATCTTCGGCATGCATGCACACACACACCTCCTGTGTGAGTTTCAAGCCACTGGGTCTTGGACTCAAGCCACAGTTGGCTATATGGGAGTACAACAACATAACTACTATGCCATTTGCTGGTCCCAATTATAAAATATATTTAACAAAGTATATCAAAACTTTTCAGGTGTAGCTTAAGTACTGCTTAAAGTGAAATGTATAATCTTTACATCTATGAAGAAATACTGAATTTAAAGAGCTAAGTATGTATATTTCTATTTATTTATTTATTTATTTATTTATTTATTTATTTATTTATTTATTTATTTTGGAGAGATTTTTGCTATAGGGTGTCTGTGCTTGCCAGTGAAACAGAAAGAGACAGAGAGACAGAAAGTGAGAAATCACCCCCCGGGGGGGAGGGGCGACCATGCCACAATCCTTTCTCCTCCATTCTCCTTGGGATTTTGGGCACACATGCATGTGCTCCCAGCATGAGTTTTAAGCCACCATGTCTGGGACTAGAACCATAGTTGACTACGTAAGAGTCCAGCAACGTAACCATTACACTATCTGCTGATCCCAGTATATATATTGAGTTAGAAAAGACATAGCAAATTAAACCCAGAGGAAGTAGAAGAAAGGTAGTAAGAACAGTGTGAGCAAAAATTAATTAGCTAGGGAAAAAAAGACATAATAGAAAGGCTAGATAGAGCCAGAGGTTTGTTCTTTGGAAAGATTAATAAAATAAATTGTGGTATATTGTACAAGGAAATGTTATACAGCACTGAAAAAGAGCAAACCAGGAAGTGCATGCAACAACATAGGTGTTACAAACATAATGTTGAGCAAAGGAAACAAGACACAATGGAATACACATGGTAGGATTTCATGTGTATAAAGATCAAAGGCTAAACTAAGTTCATTTATGGATGCCTATAACAGTAGTAAACTAAAATGAAAGCAAGAAAGTGGATGTCGTGAAAGTGAGGTTCATGGCTCCATCTCAGACATGAGGAAGGGCATGTGTCTGGGAATGGTGATATGAGGCATGCCTTTGGTGTTGGCTATATCCGAGTTCTTCACTTGGGTGGTGGTTTCATGGTATTAACTTTATAATAATTTATTTTAATCAACCCTGATCTCTATGTTTTGTGTTTTCCACTTACTTATACTATAATTGGTAATTCAAAATATCTTCAAGCAAAAATATAAACATATTTTACACCCAATATTTGAGACATTCCAATGTCCTTAATATTACAGTTCTCTTAACCATCCAAAATACATGAATTTCATTTTGATTTATCTTACCCATATTGATAAGGCACAGCTTACATAAATCAAAACTCTTGGACTCATGAGGTAGATCAAAGTTGCTCCTAAAACACACATATCCAAACCATAAATGTTATTAAATAGTAAGAAATATTTATTTATTTAAAGTAAATTTTGCCAGTAACTCAGAGAAAGTACAATACTGTGTAGCATGGATTTGCTTTGAGAGTAGCCCAGTGCTGAATAGAAAAAGGCAACAAAAAGGCATATGGTTTGCTCAACAAGTTGGGATTCTCTGGGTTTTTCTTTTGGTTTAGTTTTTCTTTGACTCAAAGCAGTCTTCACTCTTTTGTCACTAAATGACCGCTGGGGAAATATTCAACCTTAGCTCTTTTGTCAAGTCTAGAGAGAGAGAAGTAAGCAAAGCCTTACATCATAATGTGTGCATTAAAGGAAGTAGCCCAGAGGACAATGGAAGAACAGATATGGTCATCAACTCAACCTAGGAAGGCAAAACAAGGGCTCTCAGTGGAAGCCACTCCCCAGCAAAATCTGAAGGCTAAGAGGGAGCTGAGCTAATAAAAAAGATTATGGGTACAGAGACAGCTCTCTAGGTTGGGAGAACTCTGGGTACAGAAGTCTGGGAAAAGAGAAAACATTAATAGCAAAGGAGAATATCCGTAGGTTGGGCTATAAAGTGCAAAAGTTAGAAAGTGATAAGGAAGGGAAGGGATAAAGCAAGTCTACTAAGAGGTTCTCCTTTAACCAGAAGGAGCAGAAAATAGAGTAGATTATCAAAATCCCTATACCCCTCTACAGATTCCTAGCTGCAGGGAACCTCCTCTCTGTCCTGCTCATTTCTCAGACCAAAAAACCTTGTCTTCTCTCTTTTAAACCCCATACCCCAATCAATCATCAAGTTGTCTGAATGTTCAACAACAACAACAAAATCCTGGATAAAATTACTTTTCACTACCCATTGCTACCAGCCTAGTCACACTCATCATTCATCTAAATTTCTGAATAGTCCCCTTACTTGTCATTTCCAACCCATCTTCATCATAGCAGCCAGAGTGGTCCTGCTG